TATCCACCACCGACACCCCTGTGAACGTGAACCCGTCATGGGGGAAGCCAAGACTCTTGGAGCGCGACATCATCCATTACTTTCTGACACTACAGTTGATTGAATCACGTTCTTACAATTAAAACTTGCCATTTTAACTGTCGTATCCATTAAAAATATTTATATTTTTCCTCCGCATTTCCAAATTTATTTATTTATTTATTTCAGAGACATGGTACAATAAGTTGTTGCATTATAACTTTTAGGAACATTTACATGTCTTACCGGTATCGGCGTAGAAACAGCAGGATTAACAATTATCAATTCTTAGTTTTTTACAATGTCAACAATAAGATGTCAATATAAAAATATTATGTCAATGACATTATAGCATTATTATCTCTGTCATTTTTTTCTATCCAAAGCTTATCTACCGTTTTGGTGGAAAGGTATTCCTGAGGTCAAAAACTAATATTCATAAACATATCGAATTTGTATCCCGGTACATATATTATGTAATAGCTTAACCTTCGTCAAATACCGTTTGGTGACGGAAAAATTTATAACTTCTTTAAAAAAATTCCCGATAACTCGAGAATTCTTGAGAAATTGTTGTCGAATTCCCGGAAATCTAGAAAAAAAAATAACCCGAGAGATAATTCGTAGAATCAGGCGCTACTTCGCGGAAATCCATTATAATAAAGATATTAATAGTTACTTTGCAACCATCCGCTCAGTTAACTAAAATGATGTTTATAGAAGAGGGGGCAAACGATCATGCGGCTCACCTGATGTTAAGTGACTACCGCCGCCTATGATCAACCGCAACACCAGGGGAATTGCAGATGCGCTGCCGGCCAAAGGGCAAGAAAAGAGTTTACTCCTTTCTAAAGAGAAAGGAGTAAGCTCTTTTCTTGAAGGTCCCCAGCTCGTATCGGTCCGGAAAAATCGCCGGTGGTAAACTATTCCACAGAGAGGTTGTACGCGGAAGAAAACTCCTTTTGAAATGTACAGTGGTGGACCGCCAAGCATCCAGATGGTGTGGATGGTATCAGGACGTTTGCCGCGTAGTGCGTTCACGAAATTTGGCGGCTGGGATTAATCCGAACAATTCCTCAGAGCACTCTCCATGGTATATGCGAAAGAAAATGCAAAGAGATGCAACATCTCTTCGCAGTGCCAGTGACTCGAGCCGATCGGAAAGCACTCGGTCGTCGACGATTCGACCCGCTCTACGCTGGATGCGGTCAACTAGAAGGAGCTGGTACTGGGGAGCCCCAGCCAGAGATGGGAACAGTATTCCATGTGCGGCCGAACCTGCGCCTTGTAAAGTTGCAGGCGGTGTGCCGGCATGAAATACTGTCCCGCTCTGCTGAGCACGCCAAGCTTTTTAGAGGCCAATTTGGCCTTCTCTTCCAAGTGACCAAGAAACTGCACGTCACACGATATGTCGACGCCGAGGATTCCGATACTGGCTGAGGCAACAAAGGGAGTGCCTAGAAACTGAGGAGATACGACAAAGGGGTTCTTTTTAGCGGTTAACGCGCAAACTTGTGTCTTCTGGGGGTTAAACTGGACTAGATTTAGTCGCCCCCAATCCGAGACTCTGTTCACCAAAGACTCGACTTCAGACACAAGTTTGTCCCGGCACTCGGAGACGTTTTCCCGAGAAATATTGGCTCGGCCGGTGTAAAGAGCATCACCAGTGCTGTCATCTGTATAGCAATGAATGTTACGGGTTTGCAACATATCATTGATATGCAGAAGAAACAGCGTTGGCGATAGCACGCAGCCTTGTGGAACACCAGCATTAATAGGCTTGCAATCGGAGCTTGCACCGTCTACAACGACCTTGACGCTCCGATCTGCAAGAAAGCTGGTGATCCAATCGCACGATTTCTCGGGAAGCCCATAGGAAGGGAGCTTCGAAAAAAGCGTTTTGTGCCAAGCCCGATCGAAGGCCTTCGCAATGTCCAAACTAACGACCAATGCCTCCCCCTTGGACTCTACTGCCTCCGCCCATCTGTGAGTTAGGTAGACCAGAAGATCACCAGCTGACCGACCACGGCGAAAAACGTATTGGCGGTCACTAATCAGCTAGTGATCCTCAAGGTACCTCATGAGCTGGCAGTGTACAATGGACTCCATTGTTTTGGAAAACAAGGAGGTAATGGCGAAAGGCCGGTAGTTGGACGGGTCTGAGCGGTCGCCTTTTTTAGGGATCGGGTGGACGAAAGCTGTCTTCCATGATTTTGGGACTACTGCCTAGAGAGTAGGAGTACCGGAAAAGACGTTAAAACCGGTGCCAACTCTGGAGCACACGTCCTCAGCACAATTGGGGGGATTCCGTCAGGCCCACTCGACTTGTGGATGTCCAGGGAGAGGAGTGCTTTGCGAACCGAGCGCTGTGTGAACTGCACTTCCGGCATGGAGCACTCACTCCGCGGGATGGTCGGCGGCGTTCTCCCCCCGTCATCGAGAGTCGACTTGGGCGCAAAGAAAGAGCCTAGAAGATCGGCTTTCTCCTTTGCGGTATGGGCCAGTGAGTCGTCCTCCCTGTGCAGAGATGGAAGAGATGGCTGACAGAAATTCCGCTGGACAGCCTTGGCGAGAGACCAGAATGCACGGGTTCCGGAAGGAAGGCGAAATAGTTTCTCGCCAATTCTGTGCTCTGACTTTGCCTTGGCAATGAATCTTTTGAAGGACCAAGAGGCGGAATTATACTTCTTTTTTTAGAGCGCTGCTGTTTACATCCCGGGACGCTGATGCGTCAGCCCAGGCTTGGTAGCACTCCTGCTTATAGCATGATGCTATTTTACAGGAGCGACCAAACCATGGCTGAGATTTGCCTCCAATGGGCACCACAGAAGAAGTAATAAAAAGTTCCATACCCTGAAGTACCACATTAGCGACAGAATCCGCAACAACGTTGGGATCGTCCGGCGAGAAGCAAACCCGCCCCCAAGGGTAGGATACAAAGAAAGACCGCATCCCATCCCAATCGGCTGACCTATAGTGCCAAACACGGCGGTAGCCTGCAGAATGCAACTGCGATTTCAGCGTGAGTGGCACCACACTCCGGACAAGACAATGGTCCGAGAAGCCTAAAGGGGCGTCGACGAAAATCTGATATCCGTACGGTTGAGAGGTCAGCAGAAGGTCCAACAGAGAAGGTGCATGATCCTCCACATCTGAAATCCGCGTAGGCGAAGTAACCAGTTGTGTCAGACCATATGTCAAGGCAAAATCATGAACAGATCTCCCCGCACGATCGGTTAAAGTCGCCGATGGGCGTTAAAGTCGCCGAAGATCATGATCTCTGCGGAGGGGATCTGCTGTAGCAATGAATCTGTAGCCATTTGGACGTGGTCGAAGAGTCGGTCTGTTTCGGTATTACCGCTATGGGACCTATAGAGGCACGCGTAGACGCGCGGATATTCGTCGCTGTCTACGCGTAGCCAAAGGATGGACAGGTCCGAACCTTCAAGTCTGCATAGGCGTCGAGAACAGATGTCCTCTCTGACGTAAACGCAAACTACAGCCCGAGGCACAAAGGAGTGTTCCAGTTTGTACCCCGGGTAGGAGAGATACGAAACAGCAGCCGGAGAGGACACCTGCGTCTCGGTCAGAAAGAGCAGAGTCGGCCTCACCGTCTCGAGATGGTAGTGGACGGCGTTTAGGTTAGAGCGAAGTCCCCTGATATTGCAGAAATTCACGGACAGCGTGGCAGGGGTCGATTTGGTCTTGTTGCTCCGTTTGCCCCGAGCAGTTGTAGTCTTGAGCGGTATTTTGCCTTCCCCTCCCTCCAGAATACGCGGGGCAGCCTGAACACCCACGCTCAGAAGTGGAGAAACATGGTCGTGGATGCTCAGCGAGGGATTTTCCAGGGGTTCTGTTACCCTCCTGGGGTAGTCTATTATCATTTAATTCCGCTACCATGTTGATGCGGGGGGGGGGGATTTGGGCCTCCGGCCACCTGCACTCATCAGACGAAACGCGGAAGCAGAGCTGCCACTTTACGCCGGTATTCTGTGAGGTCGTGGTACCACCCCGGTTTGAGCCGGCCCATACGTGCAACTGCAAAGCTGCCGCGTGGCTCTACCACTGTTAAGTCTGTCATTCGTAGAATAGTGGTTTTGAGAGTACTGGAGCTGGGATTACTGGTGACGGGATTAGTGCACGCAATTGTGGGAGGGCGGGAGGTGCTCTTCAAACTAGGTAAGACAAACCATTTTAGTTACGTGAGCGGATGGTTGTAAAGTAACTATTAATATCTTTATTAACCCGAGAGATGATACACCTTAGTTTGGTGGCGTAATGGTCAATGTTTGGTGGTCACATTATGGTGTACTTCACAAGAGTTGTTTGACATCCGGTGTATCGATGTCTATTGTGAAGAATTTCGGACAATAATGGCGAATCTCTCAGAGAAAGAGTCACTACTTGTCAATTCATTTTAGCCATTAACATGTAGTTAGAAACCATATGTCACCCACCCACCGTACTCGTATTTCGTTCTCAGGGAGCTGTATGAAATGTCTTTATTGGCGTCTCCGTGGCCGAGTGGCTTAGCAATGAGTTGCGGCTCTGAGGGCCTCGGGTATGAATACCGCACGGAACGAGTATTTTTGTATGATCTACAAATAATTGTTCCAGATCTGGATGTTTGTCCTTGTGAAATTTATGTATATAAACTACCTTCACGATACAGGAGAAAAATCTAGTATTTTTAAATAAAAAATAAAAAAAAAAAGACTGTAGAGTCTAGAACACCAGAGTTCGATCGCAAAGGCATAAAAATGATGTTCCCGAGATGGCTGAAATGTATAATATTTCGATTTAAATCAAAACAGTACATATCTATCTACCTATGGCTCTGTAATTTTTAAGGCAGTGAGGAAATTGTTGATAGAAGACTGCTGTCTAAGATTTAATAATTAATTTTACTGTAGGTTAAGGACAGCGAAGGGATGGTGGTAGAAGGTGTGAAACATCCTCTACAGAATACGTGGAACTTTTGGATGTTCACGAACAAATATAAAAGCTGGGAGAAGAACCTAGTGAAGTTAGCTACATTTGACACCGTTGAAGACTATTGGTGGTAAGTAGTTTTTTTTACACTTCGTAACTCTTATGTTAGTTTTGAATGTGTTTCAGGTAGATGTTTTAAATTTGGCATGGTAGTATTGTCGCGCTATACCTTATTACGCGCTATACGTTACCTTATTATGCGATATACGGTAATCTGAATAAGAGACGCGATCCAAAATTAATAGTGTAGAGTATGTTACAAAACGTTTTTTTTTTCTTATTTATGTAGGGATTTTTGTTTGTTAACATGTCAATCCCATTATAACTAAGCTAAAATCTATACATTTACCATTAAGGCAGAATAGTATCGTGGTCACGTAGATTTTTAGGGGTGAAGCAGATGCAGACGGGCGATTGACGCGCGTGCATCCGGCTAGCTGCTAGCAATAGCGACGAGTAAGAAGCTGTCCCGGCGTGAAGTACCGCCGCACCCTTGCAAGGACACTAGCTTTCTTGTGGCTGCATTGGACTCAATTTAATTGGCACTGATCAGTTGGTTACTGCACTTCAGTGCTGCCGTCTGCATACCCATGGATACCGTAAATTAGCTAACCATTAATATGCAGCAGGTAGAGAGACGAATCCCTGACGAACTCCGGTGTTTATCGCGATAGGACTAGACGAGTAGCCCTCGATGACGACTCGTAGAGATCGTTCACTCAGAAAGTCCTTCACCCAGACAATCAGACCAGAGGACAAGCCGTACGCTGGAGGTTTGCTTAAAAAGCTAGCGTGCCAAACCCTGTTGAAGGCCTTCGAGACATCAAGGGAAACGGCAAGTGCTTTCTCACTGTTCTCAAGGGCTTTGCCCCCATATGTGAGTGGCATACACTAGAAGGTTCACAGTCAGTTAGTACGTAACGAGAAGATGTGTCCTAATCTCTCGAACGCTGCCCAGAACTGTTTTGTAATCTTCTAGGCATTGCACTGAAAACGATTACATGATTTGAGCTGAAAGTCTTTCAGGGTTTTAATTAGAGCACGAGTGGGCGGAGCGTTGACTTCATTAACGTAGACCTTTCCAACTTAACGTTAGGGTTTAGTTTGCTTCTCTCGATTCGGTGATCTCTACCAGTGTTCACCCACGCGTTTACTGAGACATTACTGAACAGCTGCCGTCTTTACGTCATAATGAAGCAAGGGTTATCATGCATGGTAACTACACATAGCCCAAGGAGAGTTCACCATTCTCTTTTACTTTGTGTTGAAGCTTCCCATCAACACTGTATAGTGGGTCTTGGGCGAATGCATAGCTCTAGAGATATCCTTACACAACAATAAATGTTAATAATCCGAGTAACAATGTATCATGCATGGTAACTACACATAGCCCAAGGAGAGTTCACCATTCTCTTTTACTTTGTGTTGAAGCTTCCCATCAACACTGTATAGTGGGTCTTGGGCGAATGCATAGCTCTAGAGATATCCTTACACAACAATAAATGTTAATAATCCGAGTAACAATGTGTTTTAAATGGGGAAGAGCTGAGTCCTGTTGAGTCCTCTGTTTTTCTTGGCATTACTCTCGATGCCAAACTTCAGGGGAGCCCCATATATCTAAACTAGCAAGCAGACTAAGCTCTGCAGCTTATGCTGTAAAAAGGATTGGAGATCTTACTAGTGTCGAGACAGCTAGATTAGTTTATTTCAGTTATTTCCATAGCATAATGTCGTATGGAATTTTGCTATGGGGGAATGCGGCTGATTTAGAAACTATTTTTGTTTTGCAGAAGAGGGCTATTAGAGCTATTTACAACCTTAAACCGAGAGACTCTCTTAAAGAAAATTTTAAAGAAATAAATATATTAACTTTGGCCTCTCAGTATATCTATGAAAATTTCATTTATGTTCACAAAAATAAAGGTAGTTTTAGTAAAAAAAGTGACATACACTCTGTAAACACTAGGAACAACTGAGGACTCAACAGAGTCAATAATTCATTCTTGGGGCAATGTATACGCTATTACAATAAAGTCCCAGAAAATATACAAGGTCTCTCTATTACTAAATTTTAATATTTAATTAAGCAAAAACTGTATAAAAAGGGTTATTATAATATAAATGAATACATGGTTGATAATAACCCTTTGGAATGAGATGGTCGCTTCCAAGCTGTTTCTAAAATAAATCTTGTAAATATATTGTGACACTTTGTAAAATTTAATTAAAAAAATAAATTCCGCTAGGTTACTGGTTCTTCCCAGGACAGAGGTTTTTTTTCGAACCAGTGGTAACGTAAAATATTGACTTTCAATAGGAATTACTTGTAATCTATATTGAATAAAAAATATTCTGTTCTATTCTAATCATCTTGTCCACGTCCTCATCGGGATGTGCCTAGGTTTACGTAAGCATGCATGGACATCAACGAATACCGTTTGGTCGATACATTTAGACAGATTCAGATTTCTTGTAAACCCTGATATTCTTACAAAAATATTAATCTTATTCTTCCAAAACTACCTAGCGGCCTTTCAGGCCACGGACCCTGCGAACATTGAGGCTATAAAAGCCAAAAGGCTAACAGCATTAACATCATCAGAAATCGGTCAGTTTCAATTTTGTTTTCCTAGAGCTGTTTCTTGGGCTGAAGAAAACAGTAAAGTCACTGAGGGATCAAGACAATATGGTAGATGGATGCTCAAGCAATTTGAAGCCTGCATATTGGATGATAGCCACAACAATTTCAGTTTCGTGTTTCTATTTATATCATTATAAGGATGTAAAGTTGCTAGTTTTTATTTATTTATTTAAAGGTTTGCTATGCTACGATGAACATTACCTTTGAAACACACTATATACAGTTTCGAGGAAAAATTTCCCTGAGACCATCCACCATTTAGACGATTAAAAATCTACTTTCAGTCTATATCATCATATGAAAACTCCGTCAGAGTTAGAGCTTGGGCAAGATTATTCGATATTCAAGGAGGGTATCCAGCCGACGTGGGAGGACGACGCGAACATACGGGGTGGCCGGTGGCTCATTGGCTTTGAAAAGAACAATTCCCATCTTGACAATGTTTGGTTATTTACGGTAAGTATAGTATATAGTGTATTTGGGATCACGTAGCCTAGTGCTCACAGCAATAGACTTTTGAATGAATGTACAAATACCTAAATGAACCAGATACGGTCCATAGTTTTGTTAGTAAGAATTGTTTCTTATACAGGATGTCAGGGAAATTAATGGATAACCTTAATGTTTCTTGGTATAACTTATGGCCATTCAGATAAAAATACAAATAAAAAAATACCAAGTAGTATCAAAAATATGATTTTTTAAAATAATATCGATAACTTTTGTTACCTTACCTTATTTTACATTCTATCAGCACGGCTACAAATTAATGAATTACATCGGTTTTTTTATTGTTGTGGTAATTTACTTTAACTGAGATAAGCAATAAATAGTATGAGGCGGCTTTTTCAAAAAACAACTTGAATTATTGTTGTAAAAAATTTCTGAAAAATATTCATTTTGAAAAAGTTTAAGTAAGCCACTGTAGCATGAAAAAAACCTATTGCAACACAAGTGACCAATACTTTTTTTACTTTTTAACTTTTATGTGCTTAAATTCGATTTCAAAATGGTATCATTCACCATTGTACCTAATGTAAATAGTGAATTATTGCTATTCGTTTTTAAATGGAGCGAAATTTGGTTAAACATGTTAGTAAAAATTTAGTAGACCCTATGTTAGTAAAAATAAAAAAAAACTTTCGTAGTGAACGTAAATTAGACGTTTGATGGCCTCGACACGACTAGTTGATTGTCCATCTCATTCTGTCGCAGACTAAATCCAATAGATGCATACATATGTTTGTCTCATTTTAGTGTCGCTTTTTCGTTTTATCGAGTTTGAAATCACTATTCCCAGGAAGTTTTCACTTCAAAAACAGAATATTATTAAAAAAAATGATACGAGACCACAAACTGATGCCATGGCGCCTGAACTACATCACACTGCTTCTACACTATGCAGACGAATCCAACGCCACTGCATCGGCGAGTCCCATCTGTTGGCAAATACGCTCAGGATGCTGTTTGTGTTGGTGAGAATGTGATTTAGTTGAGAAGCGCACTGCTTTCTGATGATCGTATAAACAGTGTGCGAAAACGTTGTGGGCGCACCGCAAAAGCGTGGCCTATGGCTGCCACGTGACACACATGGCAGTGTGTCAGCCAAGTTCGGAAAAGAATATGGCAATGCACCGACAGTATATATGTTAAACAAACTAATTCAAGCCACTTTCGAACCTCCATCACCCGACAGTTTTTAGATTTACACTCTTGTAATTTTGCACTTCTGGTAAGGGCCCTTTAGGACCAAGAACTACAATGATACCTACCTTCTTGAGTAAGTCTGAAAGTGCAATTTTTTCACTCACTTTTAAATTTGAAATCTGGGCATTAATATATATATATATTATCTGGGCATTAGTATACGAAGAAAATAATCTGAAAACCAAAAACTTATCGATTGTCTGTCAAAAAAGTTTTGACATAGTTGCACGAGCACACAGTCCATCTTTTTGATTAATCAGTCTCATGACAAATTTACACAAAATTTTTACAAAAATCAGATTAAATAGGATAACAAAGAGTCTAGATGAAAACCAACGCGCGGGAACAGGCAGGTTTCCGCAAAAGGTACTCGACTGTAGATCACATACAAGTTATAACCCAACTAATTGAAAAAGCAAAGGAATATGAGACGACGTTATATATGTGTTTTATAGACCACACAAAAGCATTCGATTCTTTACACTTCGAAGCTATATGGACATAACCCACACAACAAGGTGTCAATCAGAAATATATTAATTTAATCAAGAGTAGGTATATACAAAATGTCTCGCAAAGTGCGCCTAGAACAGGAAGGTATAGAATTTACCATACAAAAATAAGTAAGGCAGGGAGACCCTCTCTCCCGGAAGTTGTTTTCAGCGGTGCTCGAATCTATTTTCAGGCGTCTAAACTGGGAAACGAAGGGAATACGGGTAAGATAGAGAACTACTGAACCATTTGTGTTTCGCGGACATAGGTCTTCGCAGAAAGTGCTACCGAATTGGAGAATATGGTGTCCGAACTAGCAATGGAAAGTAAAAAGGTGGGACTGTCAATGACACGATAAAAACCAAGATTTTATTTATTTATTTATTTATTTATTTAACTTCATATACACATTAGATGTAGATGTAGAGGCATTATCTACCAGTCTACCTTAGAGTAGTGCAGAGATAAAAGAGGTAGGTATAATAAGAAGTATGTACAATACATATATACATATACATATATACACATATATAAACTCATACATATATAAGCGTATAAATATATACATAAAATTAAACATATATATATTTACATATATATACATACATACACACACACATATATTAAATATAATATTAAATACTGCTAACTACGAACGCTAAGTTGATTCTGCCATTTTATTGACGAGCATTTCTCGCACTTTAGACTTGAACGTAATCCGGTTTTCGGCACTCCTGATTTCGGAAGGCAGAGCGTTCCAAAGAAGAACAGATTGAACAAAGAACGATGATTGAACAAAGTTAGTACTAAAAGGGGGGCACTGAAGCAAAAGGTTATTACTAGAACGGAGAACTCTATCATGATTGGAGCTAAGATATTTAAAATGAGGAGTTAAATAAGATGGAGGATTAGGAGACATCAAGATAGAGTAAAGAGTAGTGAGTGCACGTAGACTACGGCGCTGACGAATGGGTAACCAGTTGAGTTGAGAGCGATAAGTAGACACATGATCATACTTTCGAAGATTAAAAATGAATCGAATGCAGTTATTAAGAAGACGGTCATATTTGTTCAAGAGTTCTGCATTCAGGTCAAAATAACACACATCACCATAGTCAAAAATGGGAAAAATTAAGGTCTGCACAATAATCGTCTTGGTCCTGGACGGGAGAAAGTTCTTCAGGCGGTAGAGAGAACGCAAAATACCTGTCACTTTCTGACAAACATTTGACACTTGAGTTTGCAGCTCAAGGTGGAGTCAATGTGCAATCCAAGGTCTTTCACGGAATTACTCAGTTCTAAAATAAAACCGCTAAAAATGATCGGTGGTAAAGCTGTGGGATCCAGTTTCTTTATCATCTGTTGGCTACCTATTATTATAGCCTGACATTTGGATGGGTTAACTTTAAGACCAAACTTATCAGACCAGTTCTTTATATACTCTAGGTCCCTATTAAGAGACTCAATTGCTGTAGATATACAGTCGACCTTCGCTTGTGAGTACAACTGCAAGTCATCAGCATACAAATGATACGCACACTGAAGATTTGGGGTAATGAGATTTATAAATATTGAAAATAACAATGGAGATAGAATACCGCCTTGAGGAACACCAGAATGCAAGTCACACCAACTTGATGAGGACTCGTCAATGCGAACTGACTGCTGGCGGCCTCGAATATAAGATGAGAACCACTCCAAAGCCTCAGATGAGATCATAGAAAGTGAAAGGATTGATAATAGGATGTCGTGACTGATGGCATTAAAGGCGTTAGAGAAGTCAACCAAAACCAGTACTGTGACTTTAGTTTCCTCCATGCCTGCCCTAATGTCACCAGTGACTTTGAGGAGCGCGAAACAGTGCTAAGGCCTGAAACCAGACTGTAATGAGCTTAACAGGTTATTCGAGAAGATAAAATGTGATAGCTGTTTGTGTACACTAGCCTCTAGCACCTTTGATAAAAAGGGAAGAATGGATATAGGTCGGAAGTGATTAGGTAAAGAAGGATTAGAAATTTTTGGGAGAGGTATAATGTAAGCTTTACGCCACAGCGACGGAAAAACTCCAGAATCCAGAGAGAAGTTAATTATATGGGATATAGCATGGAGGAGATGATCTATAATATTAATAATCATACGGCGACTGATATTGTCACAACCAATAGCATTAGACTTAATGGAGAGTATAACCTTCCTGATCTCATTCGTAGCTATTGGAGAGAAGCAGAAAGGAGCGATATTAGGACGAGGTAAACCCATTATTTGATTAACAGTTTGACACTTGGTTTGGTGATCCAGAGGTGTATGTGAAGAGAAGTGTTGATTGATATCATCCAAACCAATTGTCCTCTGAAACTCAGAATGGGACTTCTTACCAATACCCATGGTTCCAAGGAACTTCCAGATATCTGCGGGGGAAGAGGATATGATGTTGTTAAGAATATATCGGCGTTTTGCGTTGCGTATCATCTAGTTACACCGATTTCTTGCAGTTTTAAAAATGGACCAATTTTCCTCACACCGCTTTTTTCTATATTGCTGAAAGGCTCGATCTCTACGCCTCATCACAACGCGGATCTCTGTTGTCATCCAAGGTGCTGGCAGCCGCTTTAGCTTTACTTTTTTAATAGGAGCATGCATATTATACAGATTAATTAATATGTTATTAAATGCGCTAACTTTTTCATCTACCGTGGGAGCGGCTGTCACTGTGTCCCAGTTAATTTTAGAAGCATCCTGACACAACTTCTCTACATCCATACGGCCAAAACTACGCAAGTGCAGGATTTTAGGCGAGGGCTTAGGAGGTTTCAGGATATAGGAAAGGAAAATGAGATCATGATGGGAGAAACCAGAAGCATAATGTTGACCATGAGTAGAGACAAAGGTGGGGTTTGATGTTAGCATTAAATCGAGCCATGTGTCCTCCCCGTCCGCATTGTGGTGAGTGGCTTGTAGAGGTAGAACATGAAGGCCAACCGACTCGATTATTTGAAGGAACTTATAGGAACGGGATGAGTGCGAAGCCAGGAGATTTGTATTAAAATCACCCATGATGATGTGATGTGAGTATTCTGACCCTAAAGATTCCAGAGTCGTTTCGAGACTGGAGAAGTAATCAACAGAGGGAGGACAATATACAACACCAAGAACGGTTTTAGCTCCCTTCACACATACTTCAAGAAAAAGAAATTCAGCAGATGCGGAGTAAAAAGGGCGAGGAGGAAGCTAGAAGTTTATAAGATAAGTCACTGCGGAGGTATATAGCAACACCACCCCCCTCTCTTATCAACCCGATCGTTACGTATCAAAGTGAAACCAGAGAGGGGGTAAGTGGTTGAAAGAAGATGGGGCTTCAACCAGTCTCCCGAAATCAGGATGGCATGAACGTTCACGTTAGTAAAGGCTTCAATGAGATCACTGTAGTGGCTGGGCACACTTTGTGCATTGATATGATACACATTTAGCGAAGAGCTAGACTGGTCAAATGTATGACGTAGAAAATCACCCAGCGTATCAGTTATGGAACAAAAACTATCGTCAATAGATGTAGCAGTTTCGTTGGCAGAAAAAAAAGAATCATCATCAGCGTTCATAAAAATAAATATAGATTTTTTTTATGAACGTATGAACTATATATATATATAGTATATGATATAAAATATATAAAATTAATTAAATTATTATTAAAACGTACCTAACTTAGGTTGTAAACCAAGGCGTACCGTCATCTCTGCACCACCCACCAGCTAACATACGTACCTTAAATTACTAACTTATCAAATAATAAGCAAAATGAATTAAAAAGATAATGTAAAACACGAATCATATGTACGTTAAACACATAAGTATCGAATTGGGTATTACAACAGATAGAAATCAAAAAAAAAACATAGACAAAATTATTTCATAGAGTTGATCGGTACACAACGTGTATAGACTATAAACTATAATAAATACTACGTGACAGGTTACCGTAATTCGAAATATTACCCTTAAGCTGTCAAACGTCAAATTGGCATTACACTAGAATAGAAATGACAACTGACAATTAAAAATATAACATACAAATGCATGTTTACATTGGGTGCGTTTGGCAGAAAAAAGCGCTAGCAAGCGCTTATAAGCGCTGAAATAGTTTTCGGCCAGGACACGATTGCTACTTCGGTAGCGCTGACACAATCCGCCATTTTGCTTATTTCATTTGTTTGTTTTGAAGTAGAGTTTATAAGTTGTTTTGTGCAATATTAGTTTTAAGTAATATAATGACATGAATAAACATATACATGTTATTAAAAATTCATGATTGGTAAGTTTTTAATATGAATACTTTACAAACATATATTTAAATTAGGTTAGGTTCCCCGGTTAAAACTAACATCGTGTCCTGGAGGAAAATAGCTACTTACGATTTGACAGCGCTTACCGCTTACGATCGCCATTTTGCTTACAAGCGCTTGCTAGCGCTTTTTTCTGCCAAACGCACCCATTGTAGTTCGAGAGAATAAAAAGCGAATATTATCTTAGTAATTATAAATACGATATCAATGTTACAAGAACAAGAAAGGAGGATATAATTAGTTTAGAAAAAAAAATACAACGCTTAGTACTACTTAGAAACCATTTTGGAGTTACGTACCTATACTAGAAATAAAGCAAAATAAAATTGTATACATTTCACATAAAAAAAAATTGAGAAATTTTGTATTAAGGTAATGAAAAGTTAACACACGAAACTACAAACTTCAATTGTCGTCACTTACGAAGTTTTGAAAGAGGGTTCGTTGATCCCACAACTGCGGTCTTGCCCTCAACCAAGGATTCAGCTGCTGATTTGGGGTATTTCTGCTTTAAGGAGTTCAGCTCGTCTAGAGAAGTGATCTTATGCCGGGATCCATCAGCAGCTTTCACCACAATTACACCGTCCTGAGTCCAGAAATCACGCATACCAAAATGCTGCCGGGCTTTAGCATGAACAGCTTGACGGGTCTTTGTCAAGAATTCTTTAACTGCAATCGATAAACCTTTAAGCTTGGACTTTGACCTCCACACCGATGTTCTAGAGTCAATGTCAACAAACCGTACCAAGATTGGTCGTTGATGGTTTTTACTGGCTGCTCCAATCCTGTGACAAACTCTGATGCTAGAGGCTGTAATGTCTGTTAACTGCATCTTGCGAAAAATGCTCACCACAGTGGCTTTACAATCTTCCTTCTCTTCTTCAGTAACACCGAGAAAAATTAGAGCCTTACGACGATGCCTGGTTTCGATGACATCTACCATACGAGAGCACTCAATAATCTGCTTGCGAAGCATCCCAAGCATTGAGTACATGAGCTCACGGAAAGTCCGGAATTCTTCAGCCACCTTTGCAACAGTGTCTTTAGCGGGTCCCCCAGTATGCAGCTGTGCTTCCAACTCAGCCATCCTTTTGGAAAAGCATTCCTCTAGAGTATTTTGAGCAGTTCTTATTTCTTCTAGTTGAGACATTCTGTTGTAAAAATTATTCAAAGTGTGATGTGCTGGCAGGTGGTGAATTTTAAATCAGTTTACATGCATAAACATGTAAGTACTAACTAATGATGTATTTTTTGCACCAAATAAATACACGAATATTGTACTTTAATGTATTAATTACTTTAAAATATATTTTTGAAAACGTAAGAACGTCTACACTTTTTTCTTCACCTACCGCCAAAAAAAAAAAAAAATTTAACCAACGGACTACCTCGGGATATTAGAATATTAAATGAAAAAATTGAACATGAAAAGGAATATGTATATTTAGGACAGCTAGTGTCATTCGTAAACATTACAGAAAAAGGTAAATTGAAAAAAGGATGACACTAGCCTGGAAGAAATATTGGGGATTGAGAGAAATAATGAAAAATAACGATATCAGTATAAAATATAAAGAAAAAATTCTACGAAGTAGCGATATTGCCATGCCTGACATATTGTTATCAGTCGTGGTCACTGAGAAAAGAAGACGAGAAAAAATTGCTATATGTCAACGTAAAATGGAAAGAAGCACCTTGGTCTAAAAATATCAGATAAGGTTAACAACGTCCACGTCAGGAAAAAACAAAAATAATAGATGTAAGAAAAAGAACAAGACTAAGTGGCACACAAGTGGCACTGGGTAGGACACAACTGTAGGATGAATCATAACAGATGGACCAAACAGAATGGATACCAAGAGACAGGAAAAGAAAAAAAGGGCGACCAAGTAAAAGGAGAGACATTTTTAATCAGAGATGTGGGCCCCTATGGATGCGAGTAGCTCGGGGAAGAGGTATATAGGAGGAGGAAAGGTTTAGGAGAGGTCTGCGCCGCAGAGGCGACTACTACTAATATTAATTAAGTCATATATATACATACATAATTACACATATACGAGTAGTAAAAAATACGTATTAATTATACTATACTATTATAACCTAGATTAATTATAAGTTGTGTTTGTATTGTAGTAGAAATAAAGGCTATTTTAAATTATTTTAAGTAATTTTATCAGAAAGATGCTGCTATCCATCCCCTGGTGTAGTTTAACTCTGTCGCCTATTCTACACTCAAGGGATGGTATAGGGTAGTTGGATATTCTTACACCTACACTGTCGGTCTTCTTTATTGCACTAGAACAGTGTGCCTGGGCCGCACTTGAGCACAATTGTTGCACAATAAGAAATAGTAATAATAATTTATTTAATTATAATATATAGAAACTTAAAACACACTATGAATAAGAAGGGTTTTAAAATACTTTAAACTTTTTTTTAAATATAATAAGGATGACGAACGAGCACACAGTCCACCTGATGGTAAGTAGATGCTATGACCTATAGTTATCTACATTTCTCCTCGATTAACAATCAAAATGAAGATACCTTTTCACCCCTGAGGACTGAGATGGAATGCTTTGTTTCTGGCATTAAGCTGCTCAGTTACGCTGGTATTCTGTGACAGCGTGGTCCTACCCCTGTCGAGCCGACCCATTCGTGCTAAAACCATTATATAACTGTAGCGTGGCCACGAATATTTAGTATGTACCATTCGTAAATTTGCTAAAATAGTTAATTTTATCTTCATACATTGCCTGGTCAGCGAGGCATCTGTTAATACTTGTTAACATAAGTTATCATTTTTAATATTTCGCAGGTTCTCCTGGTTATAGGGGAAAACTTTGAATATTCCGATGAAATATGCGGCGTCGTAGTGAGCGTTCGAACCAAAAGCAAATTGGGTAAATAGCAACAAATCTACCCTTTTTTACATAGGGAAATGCCTCGGCATTACCGCCTCGCGGGGCAAGGATGGGTTGGCCGCTAGAAGGCTTTCACACACACGACACACGACACGGCGTTTCTGTAAACCGGTTGAACTCGGTCAGCTTCTCGGGTCATCTGAGGCGACTTGGACTAGGTGACGGACTGCTCCAGACTCAAATGCAAATAGCAGTGCTACTCGATGCCGCACGCATCGTCCGTTGGTCTCTTTCTCGTTCTTCCCTCCTATTCCTCGGACATTTGGTCTCCCCTATCGAAGGTTTCCATCTAGTTAGGTTTTATCTATCTATTTATTTCTATTTGATATTTTATTCTATCGTTTTTATATTTGTAGTATATTATTATAATGTTTATATTTTTTGTATTATTTAATTTACAGTACACTAATATATTAAGTTCAATTCCCTGTGCTCGGCGGTAAAGGAAAACTTAGAGAGGAAATTTGTTAGATGTATTTTACCATAGACAAGTGAAAATCGCTTCTTCGTATTAACTACGTTTTCTTTATATTTTTTAAGTTATTTTTGCACAATTATTTAATAATAAATCTTTTAACGTTTTCAGGCGTTTGGCTCAAGAATATTGGAAATAAAAAAGCAATCTTTGAGATTGGCAATCGGCTAAAGCGGCAGCTTGGAATAGATGAAAGAATTAAGTTCCATAATCATGACAAACCGCAAAATATGTATACCATATAACTTTAAGATGATTATAGGACATACCTTGACAATATATTTCCTAATATTGATTTGATAACACCTCGCCCGGAAAGTTTAGGCTGTAAGCAGTGATAATGAAACAGACTAATTAAATATTTTATACAATAGCACAATCCATTGGAGTATATTTGTAGTTGATGTTATATAGTGTTGTAAAGAAACGGGAATTTCATTCATGTTTAAGATAGTTTAAATATAGTCAGTAACATATAATTAGGTATATTTTTAATGAAAATTATTGAAAGTTTCTTACCACTGCCAGTTAACTCTCTTTTGACTTAATTGCTTGATGTTTAAGTAGGAGTTGATTCAATAAAAAAATTATTAAAAATTAACATAACTATTTAATCATATAGTTTCTTTTATAACAAATTGATGTTTCATATATGTGAATCAAATCCAAGGTTGGAAACATGTACAATTTTAATTAGATTTTAATTTTTATTATAAAAAACATCAAGGCTATTTGATTATATTAAACATTTAGAAGACAAAACTTGAAGTTTATAAAATGGTGCACGTTCTGGAGTTTGTTTGGTTCCTAATCTCTGTTTCTACTCTTTCTTCCACCTTAGTTACAGTTTCTTCTGTGTTATCCAACCCTTTGTGAATATTTTCTGTAAAAACACAACGTAACATTATTTATAGAAGTAATAACGACAAGCGAACACAATCCTACCTGATGGTGAGTGAATATGGTGGCCTATAGGCCACATGTTATCACGCTACATGTGTCGTCGGTTAAGAATCAAATAGCAGATCTTTCATCCTATATGAAGTGCCTCTTTAGCACTAAAAAGGGTCTCCGGTTCCTGACCCTCACCATACGAGACATAAGCTTATGCTGCTATTTCACGCTGCCATTTTGCGCGAGCGTGTTCTCCATAAGTGGTTCAGCCACGTATTACATTGCAGTGTGACTTTGCTGCTACATATAATGACTTACGTAGCAGACTAGAGCTTTGATAAAACCAAAACATTGTCAGTATTTTATTTAATCTTAAATTTATATCCAAACGGCTCTGAAATGCGTACAATTTTATGGTCTATTCTATTCTTGTTATTTATATCCCCTGTTAGTTAAATGTCAACGTTTAGTGGAATCTATAATAAAAATGTCCTTCAAACCGAATTTCGGTCACGGCGGTTAGTCGCAACTGTGCTAGCAAATTGCACAGGACACGATTATAGTGCCCGAGCGCAAGCACAGGTGCACTCTCTATTACCTCACTGTCATAGTCCGACAAACCGATACAACCGGAGAGAGATCAGGCGCAAAATCAAAGGCTTTACTTGCTTTCCGAGGCACGGCGGTGACACACCGCGCACCTCCCTGACTCCGGGCTGCTACTGACAATTTCTTGACAGGAAAGATTCGAACCCGAGATCCGGGGACCTTATGCTCAGCAATCGAGTTTACGACAACTAGATCAATGAGCTGCTCGTATTAAAGAAGCGATCGAGCGGAACCAGGGCTCCAAAGTCTTTGCCAGAGATCTGTCTGCCATAAAGAGCCAACTGTCAAAGCTGAAGACTGAGTGTGGCAGCATCGTTTCCGGGACACGTGAGATTTTGAGTGAGATTGAGAGGTTCTATGGGTAGCTGTACACATCATCGTTAGAGCCACACGCAAGTGTGAGTAACGATCCAAGAGCAAGTCTTATCCGACACTATTCCGATGACATCTCGGACGTCAGTCTGAGCGAGATTAGAATGGCTCTCCAGCAACTTAAAAACGGCAGAGCCCCAGGCGAGGATGAAATTACAGCGGAGCTTCTGAAAGCGGGTGGAACACCGGTACTTGAAGTTCTTCAGAAGCTCTTCAATTCCGTCCTCCATGGTGGCACTACTCCGGAGACGTGGAGCAGAAGAGCGGTGGTCTTGTTCTTTAAGAAAGGCGACAACGCTCTCTTGAAGAACTACAGACAAATCCTTTGATTCCGTCGAAATTTGGGCGGTGCTACAGTCACTTCAGCGGTGCCAAGTTGACTGTCGGTACATCGAAGTGCTGAAGTGTTTGTACAGTAGGGCTACGATGGTTATCCGAGTACAGAACCAGAGCTCGAAACCTATCCAACTGCAGAGAGGTGTAAGACAGGGTGATGTTATTTCCCCGAAACTTTGCATTGCAAGACGTTTTCAAGCTACTGGACTGGAAAGGAAACGGTATTAACATCAATGACGAGTACATCACTCACCTACGATTTGCCGACGATACAGTCCTTCATGCAGAATCGCTGGAGGACCTAAGCACTATGCTCAATGACCTCAATGGTGTCTCCCAAAAGATAGGTCTAAGGTTTAATGTCCATGTCACACCTATGCCGGTAGTTGTTGGGACCACTAGTTGTTGACGAGTACGTTTACCTGGGACAAATAGTCAGACTAGGTAAGTCCAAATTCGACCGAGCGGTCAATCGACGGATTCAACTCGGCTGGACAGCGTTCGGGAAATTACGACACATCTTCTCGTCAGGTATACCTCAATCTCTGAAAACTAGATTGTACAACCAGTGCGTGTTGCCAGTGATGACTTACGGATCTGAGACGTGGTCCTTCACTGCTGGCCGTATGAGGACGCTCAAGGTCGCTCAGCGAGCTATGAAGAGGGCTATGCTCGGAGTTTCTCTGCGGGATAGACTCAGAAATGAGGATATCCGCAGTAAAACCAGAGTGACCGACATAGCCCAATGGATTAGTAAGCTGAAGTGGCAATGGGCCGGCCATATAGCTTGAAGAACCGATAACCGATGGGGAAGAAAGGTTCTCGAGTGGCAGCCTCAAACTGGTATGCGTAGTGTAAGGCGACCCCCCACTAGATGGAGTGACGACCTGGTAAGATATACAGGAAGTCGATGGATGCAGGTGGCTCAGGACCGTGCTTTGTGGCATTACTTGGAGGAGGCCTATGTTCAGCAGTGGACTTGTGAAAGGCTGTAATGATGATGATGATGATGAAGATCAATAAGGCAGTAGAATACACCACTACAATTATGGGCGTATAGCGTCTCAAGTGCGAGACATCTATCGATAAGCCGCCTGCTAAGTGTGGTATCTACTTAAAATCATCCATACAATGGGAGAGGTTTTTGTCTAGCAGTGAACGTAATGAGCCGATGAAGTAAAGAAAAAAAATTTCGACGTATGGGTGTGTTGTGAACACGATCATGTGCTTCACGTGAAACGACCTCAAAGTATCGGCGCCCCCCCCCCCACCGCTGCGCGCGATGCTTTAGTGTCCACACTCAAAGTAACAAATTCTTCAATATTTTAGCTATTGAGTGGTGTAATTAAATTTTGGACGTAGATGATAGATATGTAACTGCATCACTAAACTGTATCCTGCAAGACCAAACTGTATTCGCTGATTTTGTAATCATTAGTTTTTTGATGTACTTTCTACTATGGAAGCAAATTTAAAGACGTATTCAATTCAAAATATTTCTTCCCCAGTAGCTACCAGTGAGCGTAAAAACAGCATTACGTGTTACTATTATGCAGTGATTAAGAGCTTGTACACATTGAGCGTTCGGCGTTGTGTTCGGCACGCGGTGTTAGCGTACATACTCCGCCCCAGCATGGCGTTCAACGAGTGTTAGCAAAGCGAGTAGCAAGGCGAGTTCCTAACAGCTGGTCGCTTTTATAAATCATCGATATAGAAATCTGTATCAAAATGCTCGATCTCCATTTTTGTCAAAGTGCGTCGACACTCAACAAGAAAGATAAGATAAGATATATTTATTTGCAAAAACATGTGTAGATAATAATACATTTGATGTTTATTATTGGTCTTAAAGTTATAATTTTGAATCAACATGTTTGACCATCGTTGGTGTACAAAATAGAAAATAAAGATAGCTGTAACAGATAATTAATGAGTTATGACAAAAGGTATAATATCTACTAAATAATTTATCAGAACATGAAGTAATTGAATGTAATAAATGTCAATTATATTTCCTATCAAAAATAATTATACAATGGCATTAACAATACAATGATATTAACAGTGTATATAATAAAGTAGTAAATAGTAATTAAATAGGTTTGTTACATTCATGATTCAAGATTTGTCGTTAAGGAAGTCATTAACATTATAATAGCATTTTGCAGTCAATATTTTTTTTAATGTTTTCTTAAATAATCCTGTATTCAATTGTTTAATGTCGTTTGGAATTTTGTTATATATTAATGGAGCTTTGCATACTACACTTTTACGCAGTAGCGCTGTTTTAACAGGGTGAGCACATAGTCTATTGTTGTCTCGGCGATTGCGTCTTACATTGTCTGATATGCGAGGAAACAAGTGTGGGTTGCTTCTAACGAATAAAGCTATTTCCAATATATATAGTGATGGAAGTGTGAGAATTTTGTGTTTGATAAATAATGGCTTACAGCTCTCCGTACTTTGAATACCAAACATGGCCCGTATGCATCGCTTTTGCATTTTAAATACCATATCTGTGTTAGTTGAGTTGGCCCAAAAAATGATGCCATATCTGAGAACAGATTCAACAAGACCATAGTATGCCGAAAAAAGCGTATCTGTGTTGATAGTTGGAGCTAGTTTATGAAGGGCGTATGAAAGATTGCTGATTTTTTTACATAATACGTTAATGTGTTCTTTCCAATTTAATTTGCTGTCTATAATTAAGCCAAGAAAGCGGGTAGAAGTAACTTCACTTATCGTGTAATTATCATAAACCAAATTTATATTTAATGGATTTTGTGATCTTTGTCCAAAGTGCATTATATTTGTCTTCGTTAAATTGATTTTTAAATTATTATTGTTTAGCCATGAAATTATAGATGTCAATGCGTTTTTGATGTCAAATTTATAATGATTAATGTCCTTACATGCAATTGTAACAGTACATTTGTATCAGCAAATAGTGTAATAGGCTGTGTCGTTGCACATCATATATAAATAAGAGTGGCCCCAGTACACTGCCTTGGGGCACGCCATATGATAAATATAGCGCTTCTTGGAAGCGTATATTTCTTCATTTTTGGTTTCAAGATTCACTCTAGTTATTTCTGTTATTTGTTGTCGATTATTTAAGTAGGAACGAATTAAATCTAAGACATTTCCTCTAATACCGTAAGCGTCAAGTTTATTAATAAGTATATTATGGTCTACATAGTCAAATGCCTGTGACATATCGCAGTAAATAGCATAAATGGGAAATCTTTTGTCAACATGGCATATAATATTTTCAATGAATTCATAAATGGCAATATTTATGGTCTTATTTTGCCGGAACCCTTTTTGTTCATTGCACAAAATTTTGTGTTTTTCGAGATAGGAATTAATTTCACCATAAAGATATTTTTCAAAAATTTTCGAGAATATTGATAATAATGCTATAGGTATATAATTTTCCATTAACTGTTTATTTCCTTTTTTGAATAATGGTTTTATAATTGATAATTTAAGGTCTTTTGGAAATATTCTTGTTGATATACATAAGTTAATGATGTGACTCAGATGGTGGCATATATCCTCACTTACTGCTTTAATTATTTTTGTGGAAATACCATCGTATCCTACACTGTTCGTGTTTTTCAATGTTTTTATAATCTTATTTATTTGGTATGGTGAACTTGAATTTAATTGGTGTTTAATTGTAGTATTTACTTTTTTCCCGGCATCCGGAAGGAGATTAACTTTTTCAATAAAATAATTATTAAACGCGTTAGCTATTTTTTTAGGATTATCTATGCAAATACGATCATTAATTTTTATGTTGACAATAGTTTCTTTAGGTGTATGGAGTCTTGTTTTGTTTATAATTTGCCACACTGTTTTACTTTTATTACTTGAGATTTTTATTTTATAATTATTTTGTGCACGTTTCGTTAGGTTTATAATTTTTTTAAATAATTTACTATATTATACATATTTTAATTTGTTCTCTTTAGTTGAATTCAATCTGAATTTCCAAAGCAAATCTTTTTTCTTTCTACTGCAAACCTTGACTCCATGGGATACCCATTTTGGTTTACTATTGACTTTTATCAAAACTTGTATTTGCGGAAAACAAAGGTCATAAAAAAAGTTTAAAATCATCAATAAAATATTGGTAGGCTATGTTTGGGTCATTAGCATGGTAAATATTCAAAAAAGATAAACTTTTAATACACATTTTAAATTTTTCAATGTTCTCTGAGCTATAATCACGTTTTCTGGTACGCCAAAAATTTAATGTCGGTATTTTTTTAGCAGATGCTTTGATTAACTAAGCAGTATGGTCTGAGAGACCTAATTCTAAAATTTCAGTTTTACAACCCTTTTTGAAATTATGTGCAAAATTTCAATATGTTCACGGCTAGCTCCATGTAGTGCTAGCTTAAGATTATAACTTAATAATAAACATACAAAGTCTAAAGTAACATTATTGCTTTTTAAAACATCTATATTAAAATCACCAGCAATTAAAATATTTTTTAAATTAAGATTGGCAAAATAAGTCAAAAGTTTTTCCAACCTCTGAAAGAATGTATACAAGTTATTTTGATTGGTTATTCTATAAATACATATAATAACAATTTTAAAATCAATAAGTTCAATTGCACAGCACTCAAATACATAGTCAAGACAATATTTACTAATTTCTGAAAATTCCCTGAATTTATGTGCTTTTTTCAGTAAGATGCATGTTCCTTCTTTGTTGCTGTTGCTTCGGCTGTAAGACGAAGCCAAAATGTAATTTGGTACATTTAGGTTTAATTCCTGACCTGCCATCATAAAATGCTCTGTTATACATATAGCGTCTATAAATTTGTTAATGTCTCTGAGTTCTTCCAGATTTATACATAATGCATCTGATTTGTAAAGTAGTCCTGCAATATTTTGATGTAAGACATATTTTATGTATATATTTTTCAGAGAAAAAACCGAGTGTCGGTTTCTTTTTCGTCAATTTTTAGAGACCTTGTCGAAATATCAGGAGTACTGTGTTTTATACTATTATTTTTTTGTATGTCGATCTGTTCAGATGAACACAAATCAATTAAAATATTGTCCATAATACGGTCGTATATATTTTTTATTCCGTATTTATTAATTTTTCCTGTTTTATAAGAAAACATATCTAGTGATAGATCACGGTTGCAGTCAAATAGGTATGCGTATTCATTATTCTGTATGTCAAGATGAAGGAGATTAATAAACATTTCAACTTTAAAATTATATATAGGTGCTCCTGTTATATATGTCGGTACACAGATTATCTTATTAGTGTGGGTTATTTTTTTTAGGGAATCTTTTATCATATTTATTGTGTTAATTTGACTCCCCTCAGCTTTAATATCGTTTTCTCCAATACAAAAAATACAATAATCATTTAAGGTAAAGTCTTTTATTTTGTTTTCTATGTTGCATAAAAGTTCCTTTATAGTACCATTCGGGATTACATAATGGCAGAAATCAAAGTAATTTGAAAACACGTCTTCAATTATGGATAGGGACCCTGTTTTGTTACTGCTTAGAATGCATAATTTATTCTTTTGTTTACGATTTGCTATCATTGTTGTCAGTTCTTCATTAAGTTGAGGTTTTTTGTTATTATAAGAAAAGGACGTAGATATTTCTTTTGATTTATTTGCTGTATAGACGTAACACGTTCGAATTTCTTTGTTATGCATCTGAGACGAGCTTTTGGTATGTTCTCCTGATGGTTGAGAAAGTTCGTCATTGTTTTTAATATTGTGTTCAAAAATTTGCACGTTATTGTTATGCAATGTTTTGCACTTTCGTTTTGAAACTGGTGTTATACTTTCTTTCTCAGGCGTTGAGTATATTTTTTTGTACGCGTTGTTAGTCTTTATTATGTTTTGAAGATCAGATTTGAGACGAAAGTTTTCGCTATTTAGATTTTCAATCTCTTGATGAGCACTCTGTAGTTGCGTCGTAAGTGTTTTAAATTGTTCGCTCAGATAATTTAATACGTCACTATAGTCATGTAAGCTATCCGGAATACTCATTAGTGTGGATTCAAATATGTTTTTTTCATTGTTATTTGTCATGTTTGTAAGGTCATTTAATGAACTTGTTCTACAAGGTTTGCGATAAGTAATGTTATTGCTGTCTGTATCCATTTTATAAAATTTTATATGATTATTATTGGATATCGTAGCGCCCTCTGTTGAATTCAGCTTATAATTCTTACACATGAAAATCTATTGCTTTCTGTTAAATGTGGGTCGATAAGTCTCGCGATACTAAGTATGTTAATATAATTTGTTGAAAAATTAATCACAAAAAGACTAACGTTAAGGGGCTCGAATCATCGCCTTTCAATGTACTCGTTCAAATGTAGCCTAATGTGCCACTCGACCACGATGTAATTACGATATTACGCTGAAATTTTGGTATGGTTCCTAGCAGTCTTGTTTTTTAAATACGGCAAGTCGGTTATTGTGACTCATAACTCAGGAATTTTTTCCAAGTTCGGTGCACTGCTACACCGTAAAGTTAATCACTTTTTATTACAAACATTCACTTTTCTGACACTGGACGCACACTTTTTAGTATTAAAATGGCAATAGGATATTATTTTCATCACTTCAGCTTAAGGAAATATTATTTGTAAAAGTTTCACAATTAAATACACTCACTTATTTGATAATGATAGTGGTTATTTATATTTGAAAACACTTCCACACCTCTATTGATACTCGTGAGACTCAAGTTATATTGAAGATATGTTTATAGAGAAACTAGAATTATGCTTTACTAACTAAAAATAAAATTATGATATTATATATTAACAAAAATAAATATTGTATCATATCAGTTTTACATAATATCATATCAGTTCACATGTACTATTAAATGAGCGCCTATACACGAGAGCGCGGAACGAGCGACCGAATCACCGAACCCGAGCGATGCAAGATCGGGACTCCGCGAAGCGCTGTACAAGGAAATGGTAGCCCATGTATCTATCATGTATCTTGCAAGTAAGGTAAAATTGCACGGTTGACGCCCCCACAATGAGCGTTTTTACCAAAATCTGACAGCGTACGTCTGACGCGCGCTTGAATAGAATCGGTTTTTAAAACGCGCGCGTTTCAAAACGACTAATGTTTACTCACTCTTAATATTTTAAAACTATAATGCCAAGTAATTAATAATTTCGATAAGTAAGTTCTTGAAGTTTATTATTGAGGATCTGTTATTGGCTTCTTGTAATTAAACATGTTATTTACTTAAGATTTGTATAAGCTGTTGGTTTTCAAAAAATAAATAAAAAGTAAGTCTGTGTGGCTAAGTGGCGCGCTTACATGACTAAGTCTTGAGACCGGCGTTCAAATCTCAACAAACACTATTGGTTGTGTCACCCGATATGGCATATGGGAATGTATTTCGCGATATATTTTACAAGCAATGCAATTTATGTGCACTTGTGGGATTTCTTATGGGAAGTCTAATGAAGGAGCATTAAAAAATTAAAACTTACCTACAACTTTTTCCTCTATAACTTTTCCTTTACCCATGCAAGAGTTTTCCTTATCTCTAATAGATTGGAAGATACGTGCAAAGCGTCCTTTCTCTTCCAGTTTATGTACAACCACATCCACTTCTTCGTTATTAGCAGTTTCGTTGTGGGAGTCAATGTGATCTTCACTCCTCACTATTGGCATTACTGCTTGTGTTTTAGCAGGTTTTCCCGCTTGAGGACTAGATTTATCCGATTCACAGGGAATAGTTTCATTTTCCGATTGGCCCGTATCGCTTTTTTGTCCATCATCACTATGTTTACTTATAGCTGGACTCATTTGACTTATGTCTGGTATATGAAGCAAATCCTGAATGATTGGTGTTTTTGGAGGTGGAGAATTAGCAATTTCTGCTGTTATATCCGGTATTCCAAGAGACTTCTTTTCATCAATGTGCAATGGATCCAATTTTACTTCTGTCTTTTGTATGATATCTTCAACTACTTCCATTTTCTTAATAGTGTCTTCCTTGAAGTCATGAATGACATTTTCGACTTTTTCTTTAGATATTTCAATAGATTTTTCAGCATTGCCAACGACTTCTTTCATATCGGTTTCGATAGCTGCAACCGTATTTTTTATTCCACTGTTCAAGGTTGAAAACGTATCGCTATTTTCTTTGTTTATGTCCAGTATGCCGTGTGTACTTCCATTCTCATCAAGTTCATTTATGTTTACAATGTGTGAACCGCTGACATTTGCTTCTAATGAGTCTATCGATCCGATGTCATCGTTATTATTTCCATTTATATTATCTGTATGGTGTTCGTTGTTGTTGAGATTTGTATTGTCATTAGTTATCATATCTTCAGTTTTATTAAGTCCTGGTATTTTTTGTAGCGGTGGTAATTCGGTTAATGATAGTTTTTGCGTTTCTGCATGTACTGCATTAAATCCATTGTTTGAAAAATCTTTGTACGAATCTTTAGTGGCTGTTATTAGAGTGTGGCAGCCACCGCAAGCTACGTTGTCGACAATGTAACCATTCATAGCGGTGACGCGCTTAGGTGTGTATTGATTGGGAACTGCCTCGTTTGAGTTATCGGCGTCATTTTCCTCCTCCAAACACAGTTTGTTGTGTCGCAACTCGCCGCACGTGTAAAGTAGACCGTTATCTGTAATTAATTCACAAAATTGTTAAATGAAACTTCATTAAATATTTCGAATGTGTTTTTAACAAGAAAATTTTATTGCTAATAAAAACATTTATTAATAATATAAAATTGATAATTAAAATAATATAAAGTTGTGTTTTGTAACTTGGTTTATACGCTTTCCAACCATGCTAACATAATAATTCTTTTTATATCAAACTTTAAATAAAAATATAAAAATATATCCCAGGTTAAATACATTTAAAATTACATTTTTGATATACCAATTTACCGATTATAATTCGTAAAATTTAACTACACCCACTTCTCCAGTAACAAATGCTTGTGACAAATTTATATTTTAGCAACTTCTAAAACAGAGGTTCATCAATTTTATTCCGCGAAAGACATGGTCGTCCATCAATTTCGAACATTGACAATCGGTCACAATCGCTCCGTTGAGACAGAGGCTTTATACGGGATTAAAATAAAAAAAGTATTTATCGCATTTAAAAAAAAAACGAACTTATAATTCTCCTGATGGTAAGTGGCTACTACAGTCAATAGAAGTTGAAGTTGAAAAAGTTGAAGTTCCTTGTTTGAAGAACTAAGGAAGGCTACTTACAGATGGCTTTTTGCCTTTGAAGACTAAGATGGAATACCTCACAGTCTGGAATTATTATACTGGCTCTCCACATCATTAGGCTGGGAGCATAGCCATAAGAGCACTGTCATTTAGATTTTAATACGTACAAGTGATACGATTTTATATATTAAATGTCTGTGCATGCGAACACCGTGTGGTTAGGGCACAATTCCAATATTCTACTATTGTACAATGAGTGTGGTAAGAGTTAGACAAGAGCACATTTCTGATAATATCTCAAAATTAATCTATAATCTATACTAAATTATCACACGTAAACTACCTGACATAATACCATGAAATTTTGTATTTAGACAGAAAATTACCGTGTGTAACTTTTTATCCGATTACGGAAGAGTAAAAAAGGTGAAAAAAAATGATTTAGCTTAACGTATACCTAATAAATCAATAGAAAATTCATCGCGCCACCAACCAGAAAGGGCAGACTAACGTCTGCCGGGTCAGCTAGTAACAATATGACCGACGTGCTAAAAATGGCAAATTCTCTCCTATGGAATACGTGGAGTAAAGTGAAGCCTAATGCGATGGATTTTTGATATTTGTATTATAGTAAAAGGGTGACAAACGAGCCCACAGTCCACCTAATGGTAAGTGCATGCTGTGGCCCATCAGATATCTACATCTATCCTCGACTACATCAAAAATAGATAATAGGGTGCTATTTATGCAGTAGTAGAATAAGTCTATGGTAGTATCTACTCTCCAACCAAGCGGAGTACTAGTCAGTAAAGGATTTCTATCACTTAGTTTGCTATCATTCTATGCAAAAAACATGAATAGTTTACGTTTTAGTTTTGCATTTTAACTTTTTTAATTAATTTACTTATAGTAGGTATAGTATAGTTAATAGAGTGTTGGCTCGAATTGTTACTGATGACGAAACTTGGGTTCACCGTCACTGGAATGGAACTGAGTCCAAACAAGGACTATGCAGTGGCACAAAAAAGGCACACCACCACCCAAGAAATTTAACGTGGCACAATCGGCTGGGAAAATCATGGCGACAGTCTTTTGGAACTCAGATTATGAAGATAAAGGTGTCTAAATAACCGGAAATTACTACGCTTCAATCCTAAAACAATTGAAGGAAGCCATAAAGGAGAAAAGAAGGAGAAAATTGACCAAAGGAATCCTTCTTCTGCACGACAACGTGAATCATTACATCCTATCAAAAGTCCACTAAATAATAAAAAGCCTCTGTATAGATTATCTCGTAGGGGGAATATATGCCATAGTGACAACTATGCTGAACATAGAATACTATAATACACAATAGAATGGCTGTCAAACTTATTTTGTACAAGATTCGGGGTCGCCGGGACACCGCACACATACAAGCAATTACGTTGTATTATATCTACTACAAACCCGATTTGCTTTTGATAGACTGAGTAAATTTACACATATAAAAAATCGCTTAAATTTAAATACCTACATATTTATATGTAAATAGTGTGCAATTTGGTATTTTCTAAATAATTTGCATGCGAAGTATGGAAACGATTGTTACGTCAAAACACATCTCGTGTTGACATTTATACGTGTGAATTGACATGTTAGTGACATTTTAGTGGCTACACGGGCTCCGCCCACTCCCTCGTTCTATTATGTATGTATTATAGTATTCTATGATGCTGAACTACTAAACAAGTAAAAGAAGTAAAGTTACATCCTATAAAAACCTATTCCTGGACAAGATCTACTCTCTTTTCTGAGAGCGTTACGGCGCGATAGTTCACTTTGCATTCATTTATCATCCTTACAGCCCTTCCATCACAAACCCACTGCTGATCATAGGCACGGTAATTTTATCTATACAGTATTCCAACTTCATACAAACGGACGAAGCGAGAGCTATACCTACGCGCCTCGATCTCGGCATGCGCTCGGCATGCAGACAGTCGTGACTAGGGTTGCAAACTTTTTTGACAAAAAAAAACGTATAAAGTGGTTTGGATAGGAAAAAAATAAAGTATTAGGAAGAAAAAAAAATATTTTACAAATTTTATGTTTTTATTGCTTTAAACACGTACTTTTGTGTGCTTGTAGCACATGCTAACAATTTTTTGTTGTCTTTAAATGTTACAAAGCTTGTTTGACAATCAACGTTTAAAATTAAATAAACAAATCGTTTTTAATTAAATTTATTCTATTTCTCTTTTCTCGCCACTTTAGATTCATTATAGAAAAAACTTTTTCAGTGAAAGCTGAAGTGGCAGGAATGGAGAGTAGGTAAGAAATATTTTTTTTATATTTGGTAAGCTATCAGATGCATTTTTAAGTACATATTGCCATTTTTCTAATGAACTTTTAAATGAAAATTATTTATAATAATTTGTTAATTTTATTTGTATTTCTTTAAGTCCTATAGATTCGGAATACAGATCGTCCAACTTAATATTTAATCTGTCTTGTAATTTGGCCTTTGTAATAACCATTTCAAAATGTTCAAATTTTACCTCATTTCTCAAAGACATGTTAGGAAGTATTGAAAGCCAGTTATCTTCGCTAAAATCAAACCATTTTATCGTATAATATAAGCTCATATCAATAAAAATTGAAAAGTTACTGATACCTGTATTGAATGTTTCGGGTGATGACTTTTGAATTTTTTGTAATCTCATTTTTGATTCATAACCAAAGTACTTATCAGTTTTTCTTTGTTCTAATTCGTTTCTTAAATTATCCATAATATTATAGACATCTAGACATCTATCATTATCAAACTTTTTTAAATCTTCTCGTCAACAAGCAAATACCGAAAAATGACTGTATATTTTTAAAACAATATTTTCTATGTCACAAATCAAGTAGCCCATAGCATGTTTTGACATCTGACATCTAATAGGCTTTTCCGATTCACGCCAACAGCACTGTCAGCGCCAATAATCCGTTCCGAATCAACCGTAAGCACGCTGATGACAACGCTAACGCTGTCCATGGTCGAGAGCATAATCACTGTTGGCGCTGTTGGCGTGAATCGGAAAGATAGGTAACATTTCGTTCAGTAATTATAAATCGTTAAGTACCCATGATGAGTATGTTTTACGCATCACAGTAAAGGTTGAAAATAAAGTATTTTTGCATACTTTATTTGTATGTAAAAGTATAAAGTATAATTACCAAAAATAAAGTAGGATACGTTATTATAAAGTATGGTTGGCAAGCCTAGTCGTGACTGTGCCGCAGTTATGATTTTGTGGAATATATATAAAAAATGGAGGAAATAAATAATAGAATAGAAATAAAGAAATAATAAATGCGAACTTCATTTAAAACCAAACATATAAATTATAAAATATCTTTTACTTAGTTATAGATACCTCTTTATCCAAGTAAAAGATATTACTTTTCTCCACCTTGTCCATGTTTCCCAAAATAATTTTTAATTAAGCTTTATATTATAGTGCGGATTTTTTATACTTAAAAATTTAATAATAAAGTAATTCATACGTCTCAGCCGAGGCGCAAATATTTTTCGGTCGCAAATTCATAAGACCGATTTATTATTCAAACATAAACATGGTTTTTTAATTAAATCTACCAATCAAAAAACGATACGCATTTTTATTGAACACTTCCTATTGAATTTTCAAAGTACCTATTATATTTGATTATATAAAAAAAGTATATTTACAATCATAAAACTAAATGGAAACACAAAGTAGGCAAATGTAATGCTGAAGGCAGGCAGCCCTATTGCATGTTTACGTACCGCGCTGCTGTAGGCATTTATTTCAAAGATACGGCCGAGTTACAATACTGTATAGATAATATTACCGTGTCATAGGCCTCTAACTAGTTGCAAGGTTTAGAAATCGAGTTGGCACCCGCAGTTTTTTTTAAATTATTTTGAGTCGTTATCACGAAAACGTGGTAAAGCCAAGCTGCAACGATAGTTATTGTACTACTATAGTTAGTTGTAGTACCAATGGGTCGGCTCGACCGGGGAAGGACCACGCTTTCGAAGAATACCAGCGTAAAATAGCAATTAAATGTTGCTGTGTTTTGTATGGTGAGTGTAGAGAACCGGATGCACCTTTTTACTGAAAATGACGCATTCTAGCTTAGTCCTAAGGAGTGACAACGCATCTGCCTTTTTATTCTTAATCTATGGGCTAAGTCTAAGTCTATGGTCTGCTTATTGTTGGGTGGAAAATATATCATATTAATATTTTTTTGCATTAGCGACATAAAGCCCGTGCTACGTCACTGCTACTTTTATATGTACTATGTGTGAGACCCTTTTACAGAAGATTGTTTTTTAATTGGCCGATGAAAATAAATTTTATATTACCTGTGACAAACGCAGTATGCATAGCTCCGCAAGCGACTAGTTTCAGCTGATAACCATCGAACATCTCCATGTCAATCTCGGTGGGTGTGGTGACATTTTCTACTCCCTCTGACATCCCAAGTTGCCCCCTTTCGTTAGACCCAAAGGCCAGTATTCGACTTTCGTCCATAGATAATAGAAAAGTATGGTTAGCACCGCAACAAGCGCTCTTGATAGGTACGTTTATTGGCAACACTTCTGGCGCGTAGATTGTAGTAGCTGTATTGTGGATCCCAAGTTTCTGGTTTTCGTTGTCGCCGGTCATAAACACTGCTCCCTTAGCTAGAAAGAGACAGGAATAGTAAAGTTAGGTAATTATTATCACGCCACTTAAAGTAGATTTTAACGAAATCTAGGTAAGTAAGAAGAGTTTAGTGATACTTTTATGAGTATTAGGCAAAATTGCGTCAGAAATAAAATTACAGTGCTAGAGCCAAGGTGTGGCTTATCGTGGTAGAGCCATATTGTGCATGGCTGCGGCAGGAAAATATTGGTTCGACTGAGTAATGCTCACGGTAATATTATCTATACAGTATTCCAACTTCATACAAAGGGACGAAGCGAGAGCTATACCTACGCGCCTCGATCTCGGCATGCGCTCGGCATGCAGACAGTCGAGACTGTGCCGCAGTCATGATTTTGTGAAATATATAAAAAAATGGAGGAAATAAATAATAGAATAGAAATAAAGAAATAATAAAACTGAACTTCATTTAAAAACAAACATATAAATTGTAAAGTAGCTGCAGGTATCTATAACCAATTAAAAGATATTCCTTTTCTCCACGTTGTCCATGTTTCCCAAAATAATTTTTAATTTATATTATTTTTAGCTTTATATTAGAAAGCGGATTTTTTATATTTAAAAATCTAATAATAAAGCATTTCGTAAGTCTCAGCCGAGGTGCAAATATTTTTCGGTCGCAATTTATTTAACCGATTTGTTATTCAAACATAAACATGTTTTTTTAATTAAATCTACCAATCAAAAAACGACACGCATTTTTATTGAACACTTCTTATTCAATTCACAAAGTACCTATTTTATTTGTTTATATAAAAAGTATATTTACAATCATAAAACTAAATGGAAACACAAAGTAGGCAAGTGTAAAAATGCTGGAGGCAAGTAGCCCTATCACATGTTTATGTGCAGCACGGCTGTAGGCATTTATTTGAAAGATACGGCCGAGTTACAATACTGTATAAATAATATTACCGTGGTAATGCTCACGCTCTCACATTAATAAGAACATTATAATGCTATTACCATAGTATTCTATAATAATAGTAGTGTTAATGCTGCTGTGGTTTGTATGGTGAGTGACGACACTTTAAAACTCTTGTTTGTCAATTATATATATATATAGGTATATTCCATTCAAGTGAAATGACGTATCTGCATTTTGCTTTTACATCGAGGATTGTTTTAAGTGTTCCTATACCACAGTATCCACTCACCATCAGGTTCACTGGGTACTCTTTGCTGATGATGCTTTTATAGAAATAAAGTAGTATTAATTTCAGCCTACCAAAATAATGAATGTTAGAATAAGGCTCAATAACTTTAGCATTCTTTTGACCCAGTAAAAAAAAAGTTAATATGACTGCTGCTAGAACTAGGGGTTAAAGAACGATTTGGAATATATTTAGGCAATATTTGCTAAGATTTTGCCTAGATAGAATCCAAATTGCTATGATATTTTACTAAAACACGTGTTACTTCACCGGGCCAGGTTAGAAGTTAATTGTTCTTATCTCTCTGACATTATGAAAGACTTACCTGACCTTGAAAAATAAACGCTACATTACGCATTCGCACGCAGAGTACCTTCGAGTTCGTGCTTACAATTAAAACAAATTATGTATTAATAAATTATGTATATTACAATAACAAATTATGTATGAGAATATGTTATAAGCTGGTAATTGAAAAGATACGAAAGTCATCTCCGTGATTGATAATAACTTGATAAACATCATTATTCTCACCGGTAATGAAGACGGTGTGATAATATCCACACTCGACGAAGGCAATTTTCTCCATGAACTTCAGCTCGGTGAAGGTGGCGCAGTTCCGCGTGCCCTCGCCCAGCCCCAGCTGTCCCTCCGTGTTGGAGCCGCACACGAATACTCGGCCGTCCTCTATTTATGTTAACTTCATTACAAATAATTCTGCTTAAGAAATAATTTTTCATTTATTTTATTAGGTGTCTGACTTCTCTTCTACTCGGGAGTCTGAGAGTGCACTGCCGTGTCTGTCGGTCTGAAGAGGAAGAGGTCTGTAGAGTCTTTAGAGGTGACAGCGCAGCCGTATCTATTTTTGGTACGTGGTAGAGCAACGCTACCGCTATGTTATATAGCTGTAGCACGAACGGGTCGGCTCGACTGGGAAAGGACTACTCTCTCACAGAATACCAGCTTTAAGGGGATATAGTAAGTCAGCTCAAAATCTAATTCCGCCCCCAATTCCCCGCGCGTCGTATGCTATGTACCGACATGTTTGCAATCACTAGTACTGTAAGTAGATAGGTCGTTAGATACTTATTTCATTAGGTTTATCATATTTATGCCTGTTTCTTAACGCCAACCCAGTCGCTTCTTATTTTTATTACGATTATTTCCCATTTTAATTGTACGTCGTCCTGTTGCGTAATGTGTATTCTGATCGTAAGCGACACAACTTCTCACTTCAAAAGCCGAAGCGATACTAACGGGGCGACAGGAATCAAGCCTCAAGACGCCGATAGTTTAGGTAATTTCTTTTTACAGTGAAAATAATGGTATTTAAAAAAAGTAAATAACATAAGCACTGCTTTAAGTAGTTCAGTTAGTATGCAAAGTTTCACGATCTTATTTAAAGTATTTTATGAATAACAGCGGTTTATTGTTCAGTTTAAAGCTAACTTTGGATTCTTTTTCTATCGAGAAAATTTTACGGAATCGTGTTTTCGTCTAACATAGTCCTTAACATTAATCCTCAACTTTACCATATATTTATTTCAAAATTAATGCTGCAATACTTTCGGCATAACGGAGTATCTTGCTAAGCCATTTGAGGTTATATTTCCCCTTAATTAATTAATACTTAATAGTAGCTTAATGCTGTTTCGTTTCGTATAGTGAGTGTATTTTGATCCTTAATTTTTGAAGATAGACATAAATGTCTATGGGCTACATCATCCACTTACCATCAGGAAAACTGTGTGTTCGATTGTCGTCCTTATTTTATAAGACAAACACATGTGAGGCAAAAGTGAGACAGTTTGAAAAACTGGTACAGACCTGTGAGTAGGGCTGTGTGATTGCTGCCGGCTGACACCTGCTTAATGGGCACAGAGTCCAACTCAACTTGCTGGGGCACGCTGCGTGGCTCCGTGTCCCCGCAACCCAGCTGACCCTCCTCGTTGCAGCCAACGGTGTAGATAGCGTTGGTGTCTGCCGAATTAAAGTTTATTGTACACATTATTTCTACATATGTATGTATTTGTAACATAAATTAGTTCACGTGGAAGAATTTAAGTAAAACCTGCGAATAATTCACAGCCTGTGATTACTAGCTTTCCATAGTCTTGAAATCAGAATACAATAAATGGCACACTGCTGCTTGGTAAATATATAGCAAGAAATAGTACTTACCTGCCTACTTAAATTGGCTTCTAGATAGAAAAAAGACTGAGAAAAGAAGATTAGATTAGGAGGATACCGTATTTGGTGTAAAGCTTATTTTTTATATAGATGAGATTTAAACATAACGATAAGAAATAATTATTTTGCTAGCATCTGTATTTCGATCTGATTACGTCTTGGATGTATATAAGGTAAAGGTGAAAAGGCTTTTGTTGATTGTTGATAAAAATTAATTTTCCGGTTTAATCGCGATTGATTTAACTTAATTTTTACAGTTAAAGCCTAATTATTTAATAGTTGACGGTATCTCGGGTTAAGGCATTATAGGATCTCAAACATGTATCCCAAATCAGTTCCCTATGACCAAAGGTGCTGTTAAGTAGCGGAGGCGTCCAAAATTAAAAATAAGTTAAACATAATTAGAATCGTAAATTAGTTTTATCGAATGTAAGAAATAAAGGAAAAAAATGTCTAGTTTTTATGTAAATTAAAGATAAAATTAGGCCTAATATGTAAAGCTGACTTAGTGCACTTGACCACCTCCGCTAAATTTAAGTTTATAGATTTATAGATATAGATTTTTAACCTGTAACGAAGATGGTGTGCGCGCGTCCGCACGCGACGAACATAGCGCGGTGAGGCTTCAGCCACTTGACGCAGCTGGGCCGCGTCACCTCGTCTTTGTGACCCAGTCCCAGCTGGCCCCAGGAGTTCCCACCAAACACGAACACACGCCCATTCTCTAAATCACATAACATACTTATTAAATGATTATTATTAAAACTGCATGCTCAGTTGTGACAACTGCATTTTTATTCTAAATCGGGGTTAGATGTTGATGTCTATATGAAACAGCAATCACTTACCATTAGGTGGACTGTGTGCTGATTTGTCACCATTATTCTATAAAAAATGCAATTCGTCAATTTAAGTTGCTATCTCTTTTTATTAAGAGGATAACTGGAAAATGAATTAAAGTTTTGGGGGCGTGGCTTATTCTTTGTTTTTTCCAATCGAGAAAATTACATGATATCGTGTTTTCCTTTTATGCAATCCAAGGTCATATAGTCAAAAATCATAAACCAAAATTTTGGTTTGTAATCTATAAAACCTAAAAAATATATATGTTAAATAGAAAAACCACCAAGTTTTCGAGGTATCAATAGTAAAAGACAGACATAGATTTAACTAATACAACGATTTGTAATCAACGATTATAAGTAAGGCCATTAATTAAAAGTGGTAGCTAAGGAAGAAGTTACCCACTCTACGAGTATAATTACATTGATTGATTGAGTTTTAGACCACCCCCAAAATCTCTTTCGATTTCGAAAATGAATCGATATATTGGTATTTCGTTATTTCAAATAATATCCATAAGTAAATGTACATTATTTGTAATCAACGATTATAAGTAAGGCCATTAATTAAAAGTGGTAGCTAATGAAGAAGTTACCCACTCTACGAGTATAATTACATTGATTGATTGAGTTTTAGACCACCCTTAAAAATCTCTTTCGATTTCGAAAATGAATCGATATATTGGTATTTCGTTATTTCAAATAATATCCATAAGTAAATGTGCATTAAATTGAATTAAAGTAAAAGAAAAGCACATTTACGTTCAGCGGCTGCTTCAGTGCATGTTGGCCGTCTTCAACATATATTAATTCTGACACACGCAGGTTTCCTTACGATGATTTCTTTTATTGGTAAGCACGTAGTAATTCCACAAATAAAATAATTATAAATAACAATTTTACTAGTTCCGGGCGAAATCAAACTTATGTTATTGGCGTACTTCGATCAATAGTATATAATTGATCGAAGTTGGCGTACTATAAAATTAACGGCGCAAGCGTTTAACCCCTGAGCTATCACGGCTCTAGTTATAAATTATTTATAGCCATTTTTCGATTCTCAGTTAAAATTTATTCATAGGATTAAATGCAACAATAATAAATTGAAAATTCCAGTTGTTTGAATAAAATAGTTAAATGGTTTAACTATTATATTCGAAGAAGTTTAAATTTATTCGACGGATAACTGTTATTTTATCTGACGATTGAAAAATTGGCCTTTAATAATAGAAAGTTATATAATAAATAATAATATAAAGTTAAATAAGTAAATAAATACAAACGGTACCTTTTATAAATTAATTAATGTTGACCGCACTTTAGCTTGAGTCACATGAAAGGTCAATTAAAAACATCACAAAGGTCAAAGTCGTCGTAAATTTTAATAAAGAAACGATTAATCATGTGGTAATGATAACATTTTTACTTAGACCGTTTTCTTACACTGAAAGTAACAATTAGAAAAAGCCGATAAAAATAAGCTTAGGTACCTAACGCGCTAAACGCTCGCTGTAAATTTTACAGTACGCAAATATCCTAGGTTTGATCTTCGGCATCAATCAAATTGTTATATATAATTTTAAGTGCTGATGTACCATGTTCAGGGCAGTGAAGAGATGGCTTGAAAGACCAATTTAGATTGACGTTAAATTAAACTCTGCTTGTGGTATTACCACGTTTGCAATATGGTAAATAAATATATTATGTCTGTTTTGGCAACAGTCACCACTTCACGGTAAAGCCAGCAAACTGGAACAGCGTGGCAGACTAATTACTCTTTAAAAACTTACGGCATATCACAGCACTGTGCTCATCGCCGCAGGAGATAGCGACGATAGGGTCGTTCTTGATGAAGAAGTGACTCGGCTCGTTGTCGGCGAAGCGAGACTTGCCGAAAGTAAACACGGCCCCGGTATCTGTTGAAGTTAAATATTATTTTATAATCATGTATTTTTGCGACTGTCGTTACCGGGCAAAATAACACTATTACTCATCGAAATTATTAACTTACTATCTTAATATATCGACTAAGCTTGCGACACCATCCATAATGTTTGATAATTGGCCACCACAGTGCGGTTGATCAGAATTTTCTTCTCCGCAAAACTTCTTTATAAAATTAGCTACGACTAGCATCTTTCGGAATCGATACGACTTAGGGACGTTCATAAGAAACGACTTTACTCTTTTTTTAAAGGTTGGCAATGCGCCTGCAATTCCCGCGGTGGTAGTTACTTACAATCAGGTGACTTGCATGCTCGTTTGCCCCCGCATATTAAAAAATCTGTTAAAAACTGATATAAATAAAATGTTTTACTGTAATATTTATTTATTTAAAACAATCAAACCAACATCATGCCACAGCATCCACTTACCATCTGGTGGACTGTGTGCTCATTTGTCACCTTTATTCTATAAAAAATTGCAATTAGTCAATTTAAGTCGCTATCTTTTTTTAAAGGATAGGGTGAAAAACGAGCACACAGTCCACCTGATGGGAAGTGGATGCTATGGCTCATAGACATCCACATTTATCCTCAATGAAGAATCAAAATTCAATAGCGCTGTCACCCCTAAAGACTAAGATGGAATGCCTCGATTCCAGTGAAAAGTGTCTCCGGTTCTCTACACTCACCATACGAAACACAGCAGCATTACGCTGCTACTTTACGTTGGTATTCTGTGAGAGCGTATTCCTGCCCCGGTCGAACCGACCCATTCGTGCTACAACTATAATATAGCTGCAGCGTGGCTACCACGTAACTAAGAGGCATTGAGTGGAGTGTGCAAATATTATTAGATCGAACAACTGGAATGTTGCTGAATCCCTCAAGCGCCAAAAAATCCCATGCAGTCGCATGCGGCCGCTCTCGATTTGCCGGGCGCACCGCCCCGCACGCACCCGCAGCACTTAAAACCATTAAAACTTATATTTAGCGACTACTTTTCTATAAAGAAGTTTAGCATTATAAAATCTATACAAATTTTTCCATCTTGTGGTCTAAACAAAAGTCAGGTTTTACTTCATCACAAAAAGATTTTATTGTATATAACAAAAAAAAAACATACCAAGCGAATTTCGATAGCGTAAATATCATATATTATAAATATATAAATATATATTACTCGAAATTATTTACCTAAAAAGATATATTACATTCACACAAAAACTTTCATTATAATTTTATAATAAAACACAATACTAAAACACCAGAAAAATCCAAAAATCAAAACAATAAAAACATTCACGTGAAAATGGCGTACGAAATAAACGTAGATTATAAACAAATATTCATTGGATAACAGTTTTTTATTACACTAGAGGACAGAGTGTTTCATATTGATTATATAATGCCAAACTCCTTCATAGAAAAGTAGTCTATATCTAATTTTTTATGGGTTAAAGTGCTGTTGGTGGGTGCGACCTCATGAGACCGATAGGGATTTGACGGAATATGGCCGCGGTCTCATCAGATCGCTAGAGGGTTGAGAGGTTAAGAGTCCTCTAACATTTCGGCGTTACACATTTAAGCACCGCGGCGAACTACGCGAGCGATACTTTTTTCATATTATCTATTCACTCCCTCGCATTATGATACTGTGAGTATAGCGCCCAAACGATCTTGATCTTCCATAATACAAGTTTTATTAGGATGGAGTTCAGTGGATGGAAAATTTTTGGTGTGTTATTTTTATGTTACCTAATTAATTTATTATAATATATTTTGATATATTTTTCATTATTTATGAACCTTAGTGTTGAAATAAGTACACATAAATATTTTAATTGTTATGCAGTAATCGATTGTTAACAGATATTGATTAATAATGGATTATATCTTCTAACGGTATCATATTGGTATAAATAAAAAAATAGTACGGTTGCAACCTGTTTTAATAATTAAAACAACCAAATGTAACTAATATATTTGTTAATCGGAACCTACAGTCAATTTCCATATTTTTTTATTTTAAAAATATTTGCCGCAACGGTGTTGACCGAGCTGATCTCGAGTCGATAATTTCAGGCAGTACACACTTTTCATAAAACGCTTGTAACTTGGATAACATATTCAAAATCCAAAATTGGTCGTATTTGTAAATTTTTAGTACTTTTACCAGTAGTCCATATGGCAAACATGCACACATTTTTATTCTCCATTATTTTCTCCAGAGATAGGATATTTCTTTTTATTACATTTAGCGACGCATTGATACTTGTTTTTATTTTCCCCATTCCGACTGGTAAGAAAGCTCAGCTAAAATCAAAATAACTATAATGAGTTAACTATCTGGTATAATTATAATGTGCGAACTTTATACTAATTGAAAGTCAGTCGTCTTCGCGCATTCGTCTCGTAAATATAAGTTGTGTGTGTTGCGAAATATACCCACTACGAACAATTCTTTTCAAACAATAGCCGTTATGGCACCGATTCCAAAGTGTTATACGTGCAACAAAATAATTACGAAAAAGACACCGGGTATTGAGTGTAGTGTATGTAAAAAAGTGGTTCATGCTACTACGCCTTGTTGTGTACGCTCAAACCAGCTTGGACTGGATATGTAAAGACTGCCTGAAAAATCGTCCACGAAACAGTTCCTTTTTATTACCAGAGGAGGATTCTGAGGAAGAGGAAGAAGCACCAGCCAATAATTCGCACTCCATAGGTTCCCCAGACCCAGCCTCTAGACAAACTACCTTGCCTATTATTGATATTAAGAAACTGTTGAAGGATATTTCCAAATAGGTTGACAAAACAATTGCAAAGGCGCTAGAGCCTTTGACTGGCAAAATGGATGAATTATGCGATAATATCGAAGCATTTCAACAAAGAATAATTGAACTTGAAAAGAAAAATGCCTCACTTATCAACGCTAACAAAAATATGGAAGCAAGACTGTGTGCAGTGGAACAGCGAATCCATGAACTTGAGCAAGGCCAGCTTAAAAACTATATGGAAGTTTCTGGATTACCGGCCCTAGAAAACGAAGATCCTATACTAGTAGTGAGAAATCTAGCAAACAAGTTAAACATAGAAGACCCAGGAGTGATAACTGCCAAACGTGTAGGAAACTACGGACAAAAACCAGGATATATTCCGGTGGAGCTCCAGGAGGAAAAGCGTTGCTGTTGGCTGCAAAAAGCGCGAACTGTGAAACCTGTACTCGGAGATCTGATACCCAACGCTGACGAAAATGAAAGTGGAAGAAAAATATTTGTACGTGAAGCATTAACGCCACACAATAAGGCATTGTTGTGGAAAGCAAGACAGCAGTTATCAGATACCTTTAAATATATATGGTTCAAGGATGGAAAAATAAGAGCGCGCAAAGAAGATAAAAGCAAGGTCTTCATCCTGAGGAAAGAAGCGGACATTGGGACTCTGCTGTGCTAAGGTCAACGATACTCTACTAACGGGTTTGCCTACTGACATAAATCTAAATAGTATTACGGAAATTAGGGACTGTTTAAATATCGAAACCTTCCTATCATGTTTGCCTAAGACATTAAAAATTACTTGCTTTCATGTAAACATTAGATCTCTGATTAAAAACTACTCGTGTCTTTTACAGTGTATTGAGTCCTACAAGAAACAAATCGATGTCATTATTATCACAGAAGCCGGTATATCAAATAAATTAACTCCAGTGTATAATATTGACGGTTACACAATGCACATAGAGTTAAGAAGTCATAAAAAAGGAGGTGGTGTCATAATTTATGAACAAACACAACTTCAGTACCACAAAAACCGCTTCACTGAGTTTTGAACGTGTTGTTGGAACACTTGCAACATGGAATAAAAGTACCTACACTCTGTGTGCATTGTACCGACCGCCAGACAAAAGTAAAACCCTATTTGTTTCCGAGCTAAAACACTTATTAAATAAATATGCACACTGTGATAATTTTCTAATTATAGGTGACATAAATCTAAACCATAAAAATAAACAACACAATATCACAATATGTAGATCTAATGAGCGAGTACGGCCTATCTTGTGGGATATCTGATTATACTAGGATCGAAAATCGTAAAAATCTAGTAACTAAGAGTTGCATAGATCATATTTTTGTGCGGTCTCGTAAACATAGCCTTTACAGTGCGGCTTTGGGCACTGTACTGGCGGACCATCGAATGACTGCAATTGCATGCGTCGCCCCGGAACATATACAGGCTGATCCTGTTACATTAAAACGTTTTAAACAAGATCGTCTGAATAAAGAATTACATAATATAGACTGGAGTAATGTTAATACAATGGATTGCCCAAATTTGATATACAAAAATCATTATAACTAAAATTACTGAATGTTACAAAAAAATCGGAATACATCATAAAAATAAAATCAACATCTAAACGAAATAATGAACCATGGATAAATAAAAGTATAAAAAAACTTTGTAATAAAAGAGATAAACTATTTTTAAACTGGAAAAAAGATCCTACGTAAGAGTAGAGTATAACAAAATAAGAAATAAAACTCACAAAACGATAGAGAAATCTAGAAACTTTTTTTTATAAATCGGAAATAAACAAAAATAGAAAAAATACAAGAAAACTTTGGTATATAATTAATAAAATAGCAGGAAGGATATCTCGATCTGTAGACGAAGTAATAAATAAAGCGTTTAAAACAAACAAAATGAATACTCAAACAATAGCGAATAATTTCGCGTCTAGTTTTAAAGAAAATGTATCTAAAATAATACCAAATTGTAAAAATAATATTTTGAACATGGAAAGTTATAAAAAACCGGTTTGCTTGTCTATTTACTATAAAAAACCGTGCGTAAAGCAAGTAGCAAAAATAATAAAAAATATTAACGAAAACAAAGCACCTGGTATTGATGGCATTCGGGCAATTGCCATAAAAGTTATAGGTGAAAAGATGTCTCTTGCTTTGACA